CTAGTGGACCATGTATTGATGAAGTGGCTTATGAGCTTTAAAAATCCATAAGGGATGATAACAATGTTGCAAGAGTGTGATATAGTCATATGGCATCATCTTTGTTTCTCTGGGAAATTCTGCTCCCTGTGAATGTGATGTATAGTCTGCCACTAGAGCATATGTGTCATAGTATCTACAATAACATGTGGAATGATTGAGGTCTAACTGGTTGATACTCAAGTTTGTGTTCCAAGAGTTTAAAAAAAGCTGACATATGGCATAAAGAGATATTATATGTTCTGGTAAGACAGGTTAGGTATGAACATTCTAGCATGGTGACTGAATATGATTTAGTAATGTGCTAGTGGTATCAAAGCAGCTCAGCTCTAGCTTAATAGGTCATTATCTCGTACTCTGACAAATTGATCCATTGACATACAACTTACACTAGTTGTGTGTTACATCGTTTGCAAAATTCGCTCACCCTGTACGGCCAGGTAATGGTGGAGTATCTGGGGAATTGACCTTGTGATACTTGATTCTCTCCCCATTACACTTGAGAGGTATGGACTCTTCAATGTGCAATGAGGTATGTTGTTTCCTTTCTCAGTTCAAAATATGAATAAGGTTGTTATGAATCTGAGTGGAATAGTCGTACTTTCACTGGATTTGTTTATTTTGTTTCTATGATATCAACTAAAGTCAGTGGATTGAATCATACATGGTGATACAGTATCTTGATAGTTCTCTCAGCTACTGGTTTGTCAGCCATATAAGACAATAAATATTACAGTGGAATGCATTTTTATTTGTTTATATGGGTAAAAAAGCTTTCATAGGAGAGATATCAAAGAATTTTGATCAGTCAGTTCATATATCCATTAATTGTGAGGTACTGCATCTTCAAGTATGGATAACCAGCATAGTATAAAAGTTAAACCCAGATAACAGGGGGTTCTCAGATCTTGGGCATGGGTATATATATTTTCCGACAAGTTACAATAGATAGGTTACAAAGAACGAAACAAGACACAGATCCACACAAATAAAAAATGTTTAACACACTTTTACAGTTTACAATGCAAAATAAACGATACACTACAACACAGCATTAAACAATAACACAATTAACAATTGTACAAGTGATCCTGCATGTCTGCATGTACACCATAAAACAATGTTTAGTAAAGTCCAATATCCCAACTTGGATTTCACTACAAAATTCTAGAAATGCTTTATATTCTACACATGGAGCAAGTGCTACATGCTACATTACTTCATGCTTACCATGAAGAAACTTTATTTATTTTTGCTTAAGGCAAAGGAAACAAAAACAAAATGAGGCACTTTTGTGAGTCTGGTGGACTCTTCTCTAAGTAAAAATTGAAAGTAAAACAGAACTCCATACAAAGCAAGAGGTTTCTGCTAAGTACTCACAGGAATGGAGAATAAAGGCCATACATAAATATTGAACACAAGAGCTCTTCGCGTTGAAGTTAAAGGAAACAGAAAATTGCTCAAACTTTGTAAAACTGACAAGAATAATTAAAAATAGAATTTTATTTATGTAAGAGAATCAGATGAGCAGGTTTTAGCCTTCACCTAGAACTCTGCTAGCCAAATAGAGAAAGTTAAAATTGGTAATAACTCACTTGAATACTTCTCTGCTTCACACTAAGGAACTATGCAAAACAACATAATTTAACATTTCTAGTTTTATTTACAGTTAGGTAAGATAGAGAAATTAAGAGATAAAGTGCAATGTTTTATATAAAAAACTTATAATCATTCTAGAAGCTAGACAAATTAAATATGAAAACTCTGAGATAAAAAAGTATTTTTATTCTTAGCATGGCCAAATGTTTGCATATTTTGTAGCAAATAAGATCATTATTATTATTAAGATGGAATACAAATACACTTAGAAATACATGTTACATTAAACATCTACATATGCAATTTGCATAATGAGACAGGTTCTATGGACATCATGAACGATTTTATCTGACGCTTGTAAAAAGATGGGTAATTCAGCATTTCACCTATCACAACAAATCCTTGCCAAAACATATATAATGACAAAATATACCGTCAAATTATTATAACTAACGTCCATAACCTTATATCAGTTCATATCAAACATCCAGAACTTGTTTTGTCCTCCTCGTACTCTTATAAGTCCCGCAAGGCGACGTAGCATGCTGTCGATGATGTTATTGATGTAATTCACCGTAATTGTCACAAGTAAGCGCTGCAACTTCTCTACAATACTTGGTTTAGGGGTCGTGATTAGTAATTTTTTCGGCTCAGTTCTGCTCAACAGTTCTCAATGGGGTTACAATCTGGAGACTTTGCTGGACATGGCAATCTTGTAACGTCATCCTGGTCGAGATAATCATGTACAATACATGCACTGTGAGCAGTGGCATTTTCATCCTGGAACACAAAGATATTGCCAAACTTTGCTCTAGCATATGGCAAAAATATTGTTTCCATATGATGCCTGTAGGAGGCGCCAATGACGTTTCCCTGGAGGATATGAAAAGCAAGTTTTCCACCATGATGAATAGCTGCCCAAACATCTACTGCATCACTTCCTGTGTGCTTCCTGGTGGAAAGACAGTCTTCTCTCATCTGTTCTTCAGGCAAACGACGAACACGAATCCTACCATAACCTCTAACAAGCCGGAAACAGGACTCATCTGAAAAAATAACATGTCGTCAGTACTTAACTGTAAGTTAGCATGCTGTCTTACCCAAGTAAACACGGTGATGGTGATGAATTATGATTAATATCGATTTGCAGATGGCCCTTCTTGCAAAATAACTTTGTTTGGTTAGTCTCCTATTCACTGTTCTTCTGGATACCCTGGAATGAATGTGTTCATGCCATTCCTGTCGTAAAGTACTGTATGACTTCTTTCGACCTTGACGTGTTAAGCTGATTAAGATACAGTCATCTGGGGCAGTATTTTTTCCGGCGTCTACAGGTATACTTTCCTGGAACAACGTTTCTTGTAGTCCAAGAGCGTTTCTGGATTGTGGATACGGTACACTGGGGGTACCATACAGCTCTGGCAATGTCCCTTTGATTCATACCATTTCTGGACAGTCGAACAATTTGACACCCTATAACTTCTGGCACGTGACGAGGCAGGACTCTATCCCAAGTACAGATAAACTGTCTGAACAAAGCGTTGATCTGTTTCGAAAATAATTACACCAAAAACACATCCTTTTATACAAAACAGGTGTGTATGAGTGTTTTGAGAAAACAAATGCTCAAAATAATTTATACAGACCAGAATAACAACTAGCCCATGTTTGTCTGTTCATATGCTACCTTCTCTGTTACTACTTGGGCATTTACTCAAAAACTACTCCATGCATGTAGACAATAACATCAATATAGAACAGTATGCAAACATTTTGGCCAAGATTGTACTTGCAATTATAATAAAATGGTGCACATTATAGAGCTAAACTGTTCTTTCTTATTCTTTATCTGAGTTTGTGTAACTAAACGAAGACTACGTGTTTGTTAGAACTACCATAACCTAACTTCCCAAACACAGACGTGGTTATCAGTAACATATTGCTTGACATATTGCTTTAAGCTTGACTATACGGGTATTGTATATATGACAGCGAGAGCTGAAAGATTATGGATATATGTTATATTATTAATTTCATTTTAAAAACCAGAACTGGAACAGGAAGTGTTCCATACAATAGGCTGGTAAATATATAACCAGTTCTGTAGCAAGGTGTAGAATAAAAACAATAAAATATGTGCTGCTGGCAGGAGTACTGGTGAAAGTAGGACACATACAACAATAGGAATAAAAGTCCATCAGATTCAATGTTGATTCCCAAGTCTCAAGTGTGGAGTTGATTTAAAAATAGAATTAGAAGCATATTACATTTACATTTCAACAAGACCTGCCTGTAACCAGTTATGGACAAGTAATTGCGCCCAACGAAACAGGAAAATAGAAACGCGTTAGGAACAATTGTATTGCTCAAAATACTTATAGACAGTGTTTGTTTGTTTATTTGTTGAATTTCGCGCAAAGATAATAGAGGGTTATTTGCGCTATTGTCCTTAATTTTGAAGTGGTAGACTAGAGGTAAAGCAGCTAGTCAACATCACCCCGCCAACTCGTGGGTTATTTTAACCGAATTGGAATTGAGCGTCACTCTTATAATGCACCCATGGCCTGAAAATGCAAATCATGATTATTTTTTGGAGGTAACAGGAGACGAACCACGGAAACCCGGATCCACAGTTCGGTACGCTAGCCACTTGCAGATAGTAAATGGTAGTTTTCGTGTGGACCGTTTTGGACTGAATATCTCAAATCTATTTCTAATTTTAGTTTTAAATTAACTCCACGGGTTTCAAAAAATATAGGAGTTTCACTAAAAGTCTTCATCCTGTTGTGTCTTCTCATAGTTTTGCTATAAAATTGATTACACCTAGTCATTGTTGACTTTGTACACCATACAATTCGTCTCGCCTTTCGCAAGACTAATTCTAATGACATTTCCATTAAGACTGAATGTTGTATTCAAACCGTTTTATTTGTTTTTAAACACGAAGCTACACGATACGTTATCAAACAGTCAATTTTAGCAGTATAAGACCTAAAATTTATTGTTGTACCACGGAAGATGGGGTGTTCAGTGAAATAAGCCTGATGAGCTTTGGCATTAAATTAATATATTCTCTTCTTATGGAAAACCCTTATTAAACCGTTTCAGAACGATATATTTATATTATTTTAATCATAAGTGTCTGTGAGATGTAACTGGTAAAATAATACAAATGTGTTAATATTTCTATGTTGTTCTTCCCTTAATTATGAAATATGTTATTATCATATTTAATGTCATGTTAAGTACTTGTTATAAAATGACTCCATGTAGATCCTGATAAATGCAAAACATGTTTGCCAGATTATGAAATTTGCATTAAGAAAAATATAATCATTTTTGGAATTATTTTTCATATCTAGGTTTCTATGTCACCCCTAAGATCGGTCTCATCTGTCCAGAAAGTTGTGTGCTTGTCGTGGTTGGAGTGCTCATCGGCCTGTTGCTTTTCTTCACTGGATTGGAGCATGTTGGACCTCTCACGTCCGAAGTCTTCTTTCTGTACATGTTGCCTCCTATTATTCTGGACGCTGGCTACTTCATGCCTAATCGTCTCTTTTTTGATAACATGGCATCGATTTTGATGTATGCTGTAGTTGGTACCGTTTGGAATGCCTTGACCATTGGATTCTCTCTGTGGGGTGTCGGACTGACCGGTCTTTATGGAATGGACATGCCTCTACTTGACACTCTCTTATTCAGTTCTATTGTCTCTGCTGTTGACCCCGTAGCTGTACTAGCTGTTTTTGAAGAGATTCACGTAAATGAAGTGTTGTATATTCTTGTGTTTGGAGAGTCCTTACTGAACGATGCTGTCACAGTGGTGAGTAAACACACATATTTATAAAATACATCCTTGTGTTTGGAGAGTCCTTACTGTACGATGCTGTCACAGTGGTGAGTAAACACACAGATTTATCAAATACATCCCGGTGTTGGAGAGTCCTTACTGAAACGACGCTGTTGAAGTAGTGAATAAACACACAGATCTATAAAATACATCCTTGTGTTTGGAGAGTCCTTACCGAACAATGCTGTCACAGTGGTGAGTAAACACATAGACTTATAAAACACATCCTTGTGTGTTTGGAAAGTCCTTACTGAAGAGTGTTTTATGTTGTTAAATATCTTATTTGAGGGTTAACCTTTTAGAGTAGTAGCTATAGGGATTTATTTACTGAAACTCAATTGGGCGAAATATCGAACATTGTGTGTGCTGATACATACCAACGCTGGTACAGACAGTTAAGTCGTTAGATAATATTCACTGGTATATTCATTTTACACAATGTGCTATTACAAATAACGTTACATTACTATGTCTCTTGTATCTCAACCGGCCTGAATATCCCTGGTATTAGGCGAAAAGCCTCGTCTGGACTAGATATAGTAGATATAGTGTGGCTGACATGTTTTTGTACATTCTGGTTAAGAAGTTAGCATACAGGATCACTTACAAAAGTTGTAATGTTTTCAAAACTCGAGCGCTGTTTTTGTACACTCTTCTTTACTTTAACTCAGAAACTCCTATTTCTAATGTAGTCTTAACCCTGATGAAGAAGACCAACTTGCTGGTTCGTCAGTTCTTTTGAATAATGAGTAAGTTAATCGAAAACAATAATCATTAACAACATATGGTGTTAAAGGACATATAATTAACACAACGTTAAATAACTCTTATCGTAATTCTTATGCATTCTGACATAAATAAAATTGATAGAAAAATGACAATTCGCAACTTAATGTAGTTCCCACCACAACAATTGTTTTCAAGCAACTTTCTAATGTAAATAGCGTGTCAATCACTATGTCTCTTGTATCCCATTCGGCTTCCATGGCCCTAGTATTGGTCGAAAGAATGTGTTACCACAGGATATGTTAGGCATGAGGTGGTTCACATATTATTATACGCTGTTCTTTACTTTCACCTAGAAGTTCTTGTTAATAATTATCATAAGTTTAAAGTTTCACTAACTTGCTGATACTTTATATTTTTCTTTAACTTGCATACTGTTGTGTTTGTTATAATGGTTTTAAAATGGCTGAACAAAAAAATTTTGCAGTAAATCTTGATAATTGACTGAAAGAATTTTTCAACTTTTTCAGGTTTTATATCACATCTTTGATGCATACACAGAAATGGGCCAAGAACATATCATAACCATTGACTACGTGTTTGGTGTGCTGTCTTTCTTCATTTCGTCACTAGGGGGTGCATTCGTTGGTGTTCTATGGGGATTACTGGCTTCTTTCCTGTCTCGATTTACATATCGCGTGTTGATTATAGAGCCACTGTTTATTTTTGTGTTTGGCTACCTGTCATATCTCACTTCTGAGATTTTTCACTTGTCAGGAATTGTGGCGTAAGTACCCTTTTTATAGGTTTATAATGAACGATTATTAACCATTACGAACAATACTTTACTGGTAATATTACTTACAAATGCAAAACATATTTTCCGCCTCATATTTTGAGTACTTTTTATTTTCCAAATGTTTATGCTTCGATTAAGTGTGTGTGGACTTAGGACTAACCGAAAAGTCATAAGTTGGGCGAAACTCGTGAAATATTATTGGGATTAAAGCCGCAAATTTTGTTAATAGTGAAGGTTCCTAACAGGTGAATCAATGCATTTTAATTATTGTAGGTTTACGTTTTCTTGTCCGTTGATTTATGATATTTTCTGTGTGTGTATTAATGAACGCTATCTGACGAATGTAACAAGGAAAACATCGACCTTCTTGTGTCATGAATGTAATTTCCTTTGTTGAGGTGTCTGAATAACCGTACCATTGATTTAGAAAGAATTACACAATATACTAACGACATCTTAAGCCAATTGGACCCCATTCGAAACAGCCTACTGTGATTGGCTAGACTGTTTATCCAATACCTCTTCATATTAGGAAAATATCCAAATGTTTACTATTCTTGATTCATAGACAGTTTAGAAAAAATATGCAATTATTTACTTCAAGGTGATGATTGAGACAGAACTGTATGATACCACTACATATAGTATAGACTGAATGATCAATCTCAAATCACTTCTGTTTTAGATCATCCTACGGATCACTAGGTGCCTGATTTTCAAAAGAATGAAGTGAGAGGAATTATTCTATCCTTAGTTTTAATAGTATAGCTAACTTACGTTTGTCCAGAAGTCCTTGATGATTAAACATCATTAACTGTCGACAAGAGGGACGGCTCGGAATGGCTTAGCCTTCCCAAATAAAGTTTTTTTACGGGGCATTATTCTCACCAGTATATGTGAAGAGAAAGAGACAGAGAAAGCGAAAGAGGGTATATGTGAGTTATTGAGGAGAGTTTATTCATTTAGGAGCACGAACTGGTTATCCCCAATTGTGCAACCCCATACACGTGATAGAATAGCTTACCCAAACAAAAGATTCACGCGCCACCTATGTTCGGCAGAATATATCTTACTTTAAAGATGATCCATTATGTGTGTGTGTTAGCATCCATCACCCAGAGTTGGCTGGTTCGATTACCATAATTATTTTGCATGGTAACTGGAAACTGTCAACTGGTGTACAAATACTACTTTGTTTTATGATTTTTATCCTAGAAAGGAGATAAAAACACCCTGAAATATTGCATATTTCCACTTTTTATATTCATTTGGCTTTGAATTTAAAGATACCAGTACTTAATCAGTTGAATGAGTCAGTTATTACCTTCCACAAAGCAGAGTATGCAATTAACATCTAATAAGGTCATTAGGGATTTGATAATAAAAGAAAGAAGGAAAAGGAACATTATCGAAAGGTGTTCTGTATACGATTTTTGCTTCCTTAACGAGTTCCCTCAGTTTTCTTAAAATTTCTTTGTGTGCAATAAATAAATAGTAATATCACTACAGGTTACACATTGCCTTACAACAAGCTCATTACATTTTAATTACATAATAATAGACTACAAAATCTAAAATCCAGAATTAAGATTTTTTAGCTTTTTATTAAACTGTTTGTAAGATAAGACGCTATCAATTTCTACGATTTCTTCAGTTTAGTTTTGCTTACTCTGAATTTAAACTTTGATAGAGTGAGCAATTCTAAGAACGCTAAATAATCTAAATCTGTATCAGTACTTGGAAAACTGTTTAGACTTTTGACTGACTTGTGATGACGGTGATGTTGTGACTGACTTGTTGTGAAGATGGTGATGTGACTGACTTCTTATGAAGATGAAAATGTTTTGTCTAGCATTTTTGTGGTGATAGTGATGTTGTGACTGACATGTTATAGAGATGGTGATGTTGAGGCTAGCTTATTGTGAAGACAGTGATATTTTGATTGACCTGCTGTGATGGTGATGATGTTGTGTCTGAGCTGTTATGATGATGGTGGTATTGTAACTGATTTTTTATGTTGATGATGATGGTGTCGGGACTGATTTGTGATGATGGTAATGTTGTGACTGTTTTTTTGTGAAGATGGTATTATTATGTGTGGTATCAATGGATTTATCAAACTAAATAACGTTTCAATCCAAGTCTCTAAAGAGTCAGCTGTAATAATAGAGGGTAAGCCTATTTACTGAATTAAACAAATTGTTTCTCAGAAATTAGGATTAATTAAAATTTTCTACAGATGAAACTTGCAACAGCTGTGAAGCTCTTTCACAAAATGGTAAAAATGATTGAATGTTTGTGGAGAGTCCCACTGCATACATTATATAAGTAAAAGAAAGTATAAACGTATTTTAATAATATTTACGACTGTTTTTTTTGCATAATGCAAACAAAGTTTTACGTGAAAACATCGCAAATGGCTACTATTGACCAGTGGAGACATTGTTGTGTGATTTGTATTTTTACATGTGTTCAGTTAATGCCTTTGATATACAAAACGCATTTTTGTTATCAACTTTGAAAAAGGTAGCCAATGTTTAGTTAGCGTCTGGGACAATTCTATGTCCCCAAGTGTCTCAGCGGTGAATTTGAGGGATTATATGATAAAATTCAGGGGGATACAGCGCTGATAGCCCACTGTGTAGACTCATGCTAAAACAAACGAACGAACATCTGTATATCGTTCACTCCTTTTGTCACATAGAAGTAGAGTAAATATGATCTTTTTCCATCTACACATAAAGAGAAATCGAAACAACAACAACACGTAGATGAGTTAGAAATGTAAGTATTTAAACAATACGAAGGGTAATGTAAGTATTTAAACAATACGAAGGGTAATGTAAGTATTCAAATAATACGAAGGGTAATGTCACTGTGCGCTTGGCTTAAAATTAGAGTGTGGAACTTCCATGCTTTGTGCGCTTGGCTTAAAATTAGAGTGTGGAACTTCCACGCTTTGTGCGTTTTATGGGAAAGAATGTAAAATTAAAGTGTGATAAGATCTCTTCAAAATAATGATATAAGTAGAAGCACCATGTGCGTCGTTTTAGGCATCCTTCTTTAATTCAATAATGATATAAGTAGAAGCACCACGTGCGTCGTTTTAGGCATCCTTCTTTAATTCAATAATGATATAAGTAGAAGCACTATGTGAGTCGTTTTAGGCATCCTTCTTTAATTCAATAATGATATAATAGAAGCACCACGTGCGTCGTTTTAGGCATCCTTCTTTAATTCAATAATGATATAAATAGAAGCACCACGTGCGTCGTTTTAGGCATCCTTCTTTAATTCAATAATGATATAAATAGAAGCACCAAGTGCGTCGTTTTAGGTACCTTGCTATGGTTCAATAATCTTTCAATATACATTTATGATTTACCGCATAAATAAACAATGTTACATATTCACTATATTCTTCGTCACTATATTCTTCTTTCTCACATTTCGTCATTAATAAAATCGGTAAACTGTTTGATGCAATACTTGCGAAAAAATCGGAGTGAAGAGTAAAAGAAATAGATACGAAATAGCTACATTGAATCTCTCATAATGTCTACATAACATCAAGGAGGAAAAGCACTTGCAGTGGTGATATCACACACAAAAACTTCTGTTTTAATCAGGTCTCTTTTGTTATGGAAAAGAAACTAGCAACACTCCTTGTCACTTTAGGATGTATGGTTAAGCTAACGAGAAACTAGCAACACTCCTTCTCACTTTAGGATGTATGGTTAAGCTAACGAGAAACTAGCAACACTCCTTGTCACTTCAGGATGTATGGTCAAACTAACGAGAAACTAGCAACACTCCATGTCACTTTAGGGTGTATGGTCAAACTAATGAGAAACTAGCAACACTCCTTCTCACTTTAGGGTGTATGGTCAAACTAACAAGAAACTAGCAACACTCCTTCTCACTTTAGGATGTATGGTTAAACTAACGAGAAACTAGCAACACTCCTTCTCACTTTAGGGTGTATGGTCAAACTAACGAGAAACTAGCAACACTCCTTCTCACTTTAGGATGTATGGTTAAACT